TTACACATTCATTATTTGCGAGATGAACCATTATTTGGGAAATGAACCAATGTATATGTTTTGAAGTGAATGTAAAACAAAACAAATGCTTCCCTCTTACAAACATTTGATTTTTCAATTGTTCAGCAACATTTTTTTCAGATTTCTTTATGAAAATATTCCAACGTCTGAAGTGAACACTAAAAACATATTCTTCATGTCTTTGCGTTGAACCACAGACAAAATTCTAAAGGTGTAGAAACTTACCTGAGTTGAAAAGGGTTCACTTTCAACAAAAAAACTGAGGTAGGACCTAACTTGAAAAATACATTCAAATCCATCATCATGGAAAACAATGGAACATAATTGTTTGGTTAGCTGACAGACAGGACTAGTGGTAATGAAAAAACTTAAGTTATCCAGGTCGCTTTGGAAAAGAATATGATAGGACATATCTTGTAAACAACTTTTTTATTCTAAAGGTGGCAGAAATTGCCAGATACAATCATTGCAGATGAAAACTGTTGGGAGAGTATTTGTGTGGAATGCAATTTAGGTGACACCTATCTTAATATGGTAGAATTTGTGATTCTGAGGAAAGGAAAAGTATGTGCAGCATTGTAAAGACAATATATTAAAAAAAAAAACAACAAACAAACCAAAAAGCAGACCAAGAAATTCAGGCAACCATTTTCTATCCTCTCTTGCTAAGAGTCTGAAAGAGAAAGGCTCTTTAAGGGGGCTGGCATTTAATAAAAAGTACCATAATTAAGGAGAAATTACAAACTATTTCTCATGAAGAAAGACAGGAATCATACTAGGAGCTCAAAAGGTCTGGTTCAAGAGTTCTTTAAAAATTTGAAATGCAAACGAGTGGAATAAAAGGACAAATTCTTAAAAATTACTATATAGGAATAACACAATAATAGAGCAGGATAAAATTAGAGGTTAAGATTAAAAAGGTTACAGTTAGCCAGGGACATAAAAACCAGACAAGTCTTCTGTAAATGCATTGGAAATAAAAAGAAGTCAAAACCAAAAATCCATTATTTAATGAGGGAGGAGGGCAAATGGCACAGAATTGATGCCCTTTTTTGTTGCAGACTTCATTAACAGTGATCAGATAATGAAACTAATTTTAATGAAGGAGTAGGACTGGAGGCGATTAGGTGAAAAACATCTCAAAGATACTGAAGCAGTTAGGTGTTTTCAAAGTGGCAAGGACAGATGAAATTCTACAAGCACCTTATGAACTAGCAAATGTCCTCTCTGAACCATTTACAATTACCTTTAAAAGTCATGGAGGTCCCAGAGGACTTTAGTGGGCATAGTACAGGGCTATCTTTTAAAAAGGGGAAAACCAAAGAGAAATAAAGAACAGTGAGCTACATTTCAAAACGCAGAAAACAAGAGAACTGAAAAAAACAGGGTGATGAAAAACAGCCAGCATAGACTGGTCAAGAAAGAAATCAAACTAGGCTTGTTCCTCCCTGCTACACTGATCCCTCCCTTTCCTGACCTTTCGTCCTTCCTCTAAACATCTCATAGAAAATCTCACACATTCCCACAGACTCATTAAAAGCATTCCACAATAAGCTTTAAACAATTCCAAAGTACTCCTATAGCGAGTTCCCTGTAGGCAATACTTCGCTCTGCAAGGAGTTCTGGGAGAGTTTCTTTGGGTTTCACACCGGGGACAATGGTCTAATCATTCCCCTTTGGTAGTCTTAGGAGCAGTCAGGTCTGTGTATCACAATTTTCACTGATTAGGTTATCCTCTGATTGTCACTATGCATCTGAGCCTCACCAGGCTTTATATGATTAATCACATAACCTAACAATAACATGGTGCAGTGACCACAGCCTGTGACTTGAGAAGTTCAGATTGGACATTTGGGAAAGCTGCTCCATCAGGAGTAGTGCAGCATGGGGACAGCTTTCCCAGACAGGTTGTGAAACCTCCATGCTTGGAGGTTTTTAATACTGGCTAGACACAGCATGACGAATTGAACTGAACTAATGTTGGTTATAATCCTGTTCAAAGCGAGGCTGACCAGAGACCACCAAAACAACCAACGCTTCCATCATCAACTGTCTGGACTTCAAAGATAATAAACCTTAAAAGTGTCTAGCATTTCAGGTTTGATCCAGATTTGGCATATAGAGTCATATTTTAAACACTATTTATCTCGGTATCAGTCAGCTTTCAGGATAATTTCTACTACCAAAAAAAAAAATAATACAGACATTTAGTAAAATCAGTAAGATAAAAATATTTTCCATCTCAATGCACCAGTTTTACCTCAAGTACCTGATCAAAAACAATTAACAAAAAATATTTGGTAAGTACCTGCACAAATATTTGCTTCAACAATTTAGCTGATTATCCGTCCAAAGATTTTTAACAAGCAATGTGCTGATCTTTGATTTGAATCAAATTGTCTGTACTGCTTAGTTTAAAACATTGTAGCCTAACCTTGTAATATAGGAGTCTAAAAATGATTTTCTCATCTGGGACAAGAAGCAGCTGGGAGCATTGTCATGGCAACCATGTCATTTCCAAAGAGAGATTCTGTGACTTCCGTTGCTCTCTAGCAACCTCACAGCTGAAGTAGCATTGCTAAGAAAACCAAGAAAAAAATAAGGGGTTTCATATAGAGCAATATGCCATCACAAGAAATGCCTGGAAGGATCATACAAAGAATGCTTCAGAACATAAGGCAGGCTTTCAATAAACAAATTAATTCTCAGTTTGATGGTGAGTGCAGGAAAAAAAAAACCAACAACAAAAAAAAACCAAACCACCAAAAAAACCACCAAAAACCAACCCCCAAACACAAATATATCCCGCCACATAAACATGTGTCTGTGCAGCTGACTGTGGAATCAATCTCTCCTGGAAATGCTGGTTATCACAGATCTCACTGTCTCACACTAACTACATGACTTATTTTCTTGATCTTGCTGTTGTTTAGGGAAAATGGATAGTATTGTGAATAATACACAGGGGTGGATAAGGTGGGAGTGGAAAAATTTCTACCAAAACAAGACATTTCACTGCCCACAGTTCTCCCCAGGAGAGAGGTTGAGATCACATCATAAGAATTAGTCAGATTGCTCAATGACTACTGAAAGGTTTTAAGGAACTGTGGTGTTAAGAACCTACAGTCTAAGAACATATACAGACTAGAAAACCTGTAATACCTCTTTAACACACCAATTCTGAAACTTAACCTATAGAATTTAGAAATTAAGGGAAATTCATGCACAGATCTCAGAGTTATGGTTTAAACTCTCAGGTTTTTATCCTTGCTTCAGTTTGGTTAGCTTAATGACCTGTCCTGACTACTGCATCTTAAGCATTCCTGGCTATGGCAGGCTTGGGCCACAGAGGATGGTTAGAGGAGACTATCTGGAAGTGCTACAGCAGTACAAGGCCACACACTGCAAAAAGTACATTCCTACAGTATAGACTAGGAGGTTTTCATCATCTGCTATCTGCAGCCATCATGTGGATTAGCCATAATGCTGTGTTCAACAGCTGAGACCAATACCCCTTGCAATGGCTGGAGGAACACTACTCAACTTCCCTTCAAAAGTAACAGCATACAGCAGAACGAGATCTTCAGATGAGTTTACGTATTTTTCCACAGGTATTTATATAACCTGGCTGCACTGATAATTTTGGTCTGTATTTTGTTCATGAAGGAGCTAACTGAAGCAAATAAGCAGTGCTAAAATTAGCAAACACAGCAGAGCCCATTTCATGGTTTGGACTTCCGTTGATAAACTGTATTAATATTCTCAGTATTATTATTATTCTCAGTTATTATTGCAGAAATACCTCCTTATTCAAATTCCTAACTTGAAACACAAAAGTATTATTAGGCAGTAAAAGCATGCAAACACAAACTATATGTAAAGTAGTAAAAACACATGAAGAAAGAGTAGGCAATGTGAGCACAATTTAAAGAAAAACAAGTGCTTAAATCAAGTTAGAATTTTAAGTCTTTATAGTCGCAGACACTTCTTACAAAGAAGCACATTTCAGAAAGTGAAAGATTATCTAGTTAAAAAAAGGCTACAAAATTTGAACAATGTACAAAAGATTCAAAAAAGCTAATCAGGCACTGCAAAGCTGCAAGGCACCTAATGAGCTTCAGAGGGCAAGTTTAGTCCATCATACATAAAAGGTGCATAAACAGCTACAAGGTATGAAGGCCGACATGCAGATTTTTTGTAATACAGATTTAAGATTGAAAGAGGCAGAATTCTTCAAGTGTGTTTCTTTCCTGTGTGATACCCATGAAGTAGGCTGAAAGCAGCAGGTGACTTTCAGCGTTAGGTACTGGGATTTACCCAGTAAAAGATTTACTCTGCACATCATCTCCAATTCCGCCCCCCCCCCCAAAGGAAAAACTTTAAACAATGTATTTTGTTAAACTCTTGCATTTTCAGCAAACTGTGGCTGATTCTGTACAATCTTTCTGATACTCTGCTCAAGGTACACTCACAGGGTTCAAAAAAAAATTCTACAATAAATTAAGTCTCAAACATATTTCAAAGAAAGTACAGCAATTTGATCAGATCTTTCCAGGACAAATGACCTCTCCACCATTAGCTAGCTACCCGGTGACAGAAATAATTGGTTGCTACCACTGAAACACTTGAAAGCACAAGTGATATATACAATTATTTCTGCCAGCACCAGCTGAATTTTGCTACAGCATTTCAACAATACCTTTGTAGTCTTCATAAAAATGAAGGGCAAACGGAAGTGAAAAAACTCTGTGTAAATACCGTGTGAATAGAATTAACAGGAAAACAAACCAAACCAAAAGAGGGAGTGTCAACACTACAATTCCAGTCTGAAAAGGAGAGGATTACAAGGTAAGGGTTCTCAAGGAATCTCCACCAACTCTCTATAGATTCACGTGCCTAACATGTGGGGGACTGTTACAAAGCTACAGGTAGAAATACTGTTTTAATGAAAGGGCCATCTGGATCCTTTAATCACATACCCGGTAACACCACCATGGTTCAGTTCTCATCACTTCTAGTAAACAAGATGATGGATGCTGCACTTATTCCACTATAAGCCTGTCTTTTAGTAACTGCTCCACCTATCATCTGAGCTCCTCCCCTTTGTAAGAGAGATTGTTTAGCACTGCAAAAATACAACCTCATTGGGAGGCTTAATCTTGATCTCCAATTTCTTTAGTTACTCATTCCCCTCAGGGTGTTCCACTACCACAGTCAAGAAATTAAATCTTTGTTAATACAGCTCATGCATTTCCCACCTGCCAAGCTGAAGCAATCTGAATACAGATGGTTGAATAAATGAACTGATAGGAAAGGAAAGACTCCTGCCCACTCCCCAAAATTAGTTCCAAGTCTTACTCTGTTCTGATCCCAGGAATGGAAGGTATTACTGCGAGTATTTAACAGGATTCTCCTTGCATCTGCATGGTAAACAGCAGTCGTGTGCCCTGCAGACCAGACTGTGAGCTTGGGTGCCCTGTTCTCTGTTCTGAAACACAAAAGGAAATGGTACACCTGTGTGTACCAGGCACCAAGAAGATCCTTAAAGAATCTAGAGAGCTTCTGAGAAGAACATTCTAATAATTCAAATTGAATATATTCCTTTAAAACTCTTTTAACCTTTCTAGTTGCTCTGTTTTCAAATGAGTTTTACCACCTTTTATATGACTTTTTGATGGTTTTATTCAGCAATAAAGAATTAATTCAAAATCCAGTTTTGGTCAAAAAATGCCATGAAAGGTTTTCTTTCTGTTGTATATTCACTACCATTTGCCCTTGACTGAATGACAGTCTTTAATTAATTTTTATTCCTATCAGCCATGCAGAACCAAACACATAATAAAAATGAGCTCAACTGTAATCTCTTTTTGTGCATCAATAAAAAAGCTAACTAGCTAAGTTCCACTTGCACAGAAAATTATATTGTCATTAAATCTTCATAACCTTATTGGAAACAAAGTATTACACAAGGGTCACTGCCAGCATAATTTGAAGGAATAACCTTGTAATTTCAAAAGTAGATAGGTTTTCCTGAAGAATCAATATTTGTTATGACAGAGGATTCATAATCCTTTATGGATTTTAAAACAACTGAAATGAAAAAACAAAGTAGCTTAACCTGTAAATGGACTAAAACTCAATACTGTTCCTACAGACCATTTTGTGACTAAAAGCTCCCTGAATGTCGTATTATTTTATGGTCTAAATCACCAGATTTTACACACAGTATCAACTTCAAAAGAGTCATTAAGATCTAAAGTCCTGTCTCTACAGACACTGAAATGATGAAAGCAGTAAGATTTTTGAAATTCTATTTTTTTTCCTCACAATTGATACTGCTTGCTTTTTGGCACTTGGAAGTGTAATAATGCGTAGTTGGTCCATTAGCAGACTATCACACAGAATGAAGCCTACACCAATAGTGGGGGAAAGGTAGATTGCTTGGTGGCAGATTATACCGTTTAGGAAAGGGCCTTAAATGGGTGCCCAGTTTTTATGTAGTAACTGAGGAAAAGACTGATGAGCTCTGTCTCTTGAATGGTATAGCAGTATTACCCAACTGGAAAGAAAGATGGGATCACTGCTTCTTCTTCATTCACACAGGTAATAGGCAAAGACAGAAATCTGTGCTCTCCTAAAAGCTGTGACTAGTTACGACATACAGACATAGTCTATGATTCATGAAGTGGACAGACATCTTCATTTGCCCATATATATCAGCACTACTGCCAATGTTACAATCACCTAGAGGAGAAAGTCTACAGAACATCATGAAAACATTTTTAATCTACAAATTTTTTTTAAAGTTATTTTTTACGAATCTTAATATTTGGGTCAAATCTACCATGACAGCAATCCTTAAAATTTCTTCAGTCTTTTTCATGTCCTTACATTACCTTGGGGGTCTTTCTCCAAATTTGTCTCCTTTCAATCATCTACAGCTTCAAGTATCTTACTAAATGGAACACTGCCAAAGAACTTCCCTGGACACGGGAATCCTCTGATTTGTATTATTAAGCCTGTGCACTAGTTGTCAATACACTTTAGCATATACCAAATAACACCACACTCCCTCCACTCCCAATAATTCCTGGACATGGTAGGGAAGTTAGCACAGACAAAAAAACCCCAACGGAGGGGCAGTCTCTGTGCACTGTTTTGGAGAGTACAGTATGCACAGTTGTTGTTACAGGCGAGCTGGCCTCCATGCCAGTTACGTGTTCAGTAAGGAGCCTTCGGAGAAACAGAGCACCATTCAACCTCTTAAACAGGACCTTCCCAATGCCCTACACACCACGGATGCATCTTGTGCTTTTCCTGCCCAAGAATGTGCAAAACATATAAATGTATTTTTTTAACCTTTCAGCATACTTTCTTCAGTAAATTTCCTTTTCCACTGATTTGAAGTCCAAAATTTTAAGTTCTCTATTCCTTGGCCCATCAACAGTAGATGCAAACGCTTCTCCTTCAGTTCATTAAATAAGCATAATATACAGCCATATATATACAGATTTCATTGCCACTAAGGATGTACTATTATTTATATTTCATATTGGTTATTTTCGTAAAAGAAGTTAAGTTTCAAATGAAACAAAAAATCATAGGAATACAAATTCACTATCTACTATTTACCAATAGCAGCAGGATTAAGGTCAGATATGATGTCTTAAAAATGAAAGTGAAATCCTTTCAGTACCTTAAGGTACTGCTATCACTGTTAGCCAGTAAAAATAGGGTCCTATTATCAAACTGTGTAACAAACTTTGCCCTCTATGAGCTAATGATCACACACATCCTTTATGCAATTAAAGGCCCATTAACACCCAAGTAGAGATGTTTAAATGGATCTTAGTGATTTAATACACTTTTCACTAAAATAGAAAAGAATATGTACTTAAATTGCCTAATTGCTTTGGAAATCTTGACATGTGGTTACTTACAAGGGCTGCTTTAATAAATATGTATAAAGAGCTACATATAAATTCTTAATAAAGGTCCTTTAAGAAGCTTACTTACTGGATTTCTTCAGTAAGGTCACAGCCACACTTCTTAAGTACCTGATACTCGTTACTAAATCTATCCTTACAATTACTTTCGTGAGACAAGCTTCTCATACTTCATACTCAAGAAATTGAAACAGAAATCAGAACAGCCCGCCAGTTGCATCACTGCATCAAGGCACTTGATTCCCAAAGTTTTAAGTCTTCTTCATAAATACCAATCTTAACCACAAGCCAGCCTTTCTCTTTGAAGCAATACGCACCCCATTTACAGAGCCATTATCATCCCCCTTCATCAAAAGATAGAACACCAACAAGTATTTTCTTTGTTTACATCAGTGAGGTGAGATATCTATACATTAAATGTCTTCCTTACATGTGAAGAATGGAAGCACCTTTGATGAAGCAATTGATAAAATTATTTCAAACAGTTCTAAACACCTTCCAGGCCATCTTAAATGACTAATAGTTGAGACGGACTTCAGCAAAATACGTCTCCTCCCCCTTCTACACAGCCTGTCATAAACTCAAAGTTGCCCACTCATTCAGAACATGGCTAAATGAGCTCTTAGGCTACAAATCCTTGAAATGCAGTGAGCTGATAGTATTACACTCACTGCCAGAAACACAAAAGACTTCCTACTTCTGACTGTATGCCTCTGCTGCTTACTTTCTGCCGACACTGGGATTTCTTTGATCCTTCTGTAATCTAACTCTCTAAAATGTAACAGAAATTCAGCAGAGAGACCAATTTCTCTTGTTAAGTCAACGAATGGCCTGAAAACTACCAGGCCAAAGCTACCAGAACTTGTAGGCAGAAGGCAGCACGATGACCCAGTCCAAGCTGAGGGAGCAAGTCTTCCTCCTTTCGGCAATGAGGAAATCAGCTTTTTTAGAGTCCAAGCAGATTCTGTGTATCTTCAATTTCTGTTCTGAGGTATCAGCTGCTTCAGCTTACCATCTGCTTTATATTACCTCGAGTAGCCTCACTAAAAGGCAGCTATGGTTTTTTGGGAAAATGGAGATGTCAGACCTAACAGAGAAGAAAGACTACTAAAAATCTGTAAATAAAGACAAGGAATTAAAACTGAACTATAGCAAACACTTACTTTCTGCAGAAAGACAGCCTTGCATTATACCAGTAACTGCAAACAAAAGCTATCAAATAAGCTTTGCCTGGTGGAGTTTATGACAGCACAAGATGTTACAACTTTAAGTGATCAAGGGACTCTGGCTAGAACCTCTTTTCTCACTTGACACACACAGACATTTCAGCTCTAAATTTAATTTAAAAAAAAAAAGTTGGTACCATTGTAACTAGCATTAATTCAGCAGCAGACCAATACACTTCTACAAATCACTTTATCACAAAGGTGTCTGAAAAGGAAAGGAATAATGTACATGATTGAAGAAATAACATTAGGTAACAAGATTTTGGGGCTTGGATTGTTCAGATAACAGGTTTCCAGGGGTGGGGTAGTTTTCTGTTGAGAGGTATGGGAGTGGTACTCTACATCTGATCCTGATGCGCAAAGAAATTGCCTGGACCTTGATGTATCAGTTCTAAGAAAAAGACGAGTGTTGAATATTCCACATGCTTCTTACAAAATTTTATTAGGATCCTTACAACTCCTGTCAATTTTCTTACTCTGAACTCTTAACAAAGACTTTCATCTTTTCATGGCCTGAGTTCTCCACTCTCCCTTAAAGACAGATCAAGACCGTGAACAGACACACTGAAAGAAGACAGAAATATTGCTATTCTTACCTTTGTAACAAGCACAAATGCCACAAATGCATCAGTATGATTAATTACCGAACAAAATATGATTAAAACAGTTAATGCAATTTAATTGTCATTCCAATTACTGTTAAACAAAAGTAACTCATGGCTTGTACTTTCCAGGACAGCATAGTAACAAAGCTAATTGCTCTGTCTTCAAAGAACTGCTACCTATTTTTCCTATGTATTTTTCAGTAAGATGCTGCTGAAAG